GCGTAGAAAAGAAACTGTTGGCTGTCTAAGTGAGTTTGATTCATACATTGATGGTTCGAGTTGTTCATTACATGATGCAGTGAGCAGTTTAGCACCGGTTAATGATTTAATGCACGAGCACTGCTGTAGTTTATATAACAACACTCTCCAACAGCAGAATGGTACTTTTATTTCTTTTAAGTCTAATTCCTAGTCATAATAGAATGATATCTTAGTTTTACCGGCAATATACAGTTTGTGATTGCATTTTATATGTCCAGATATGTCCAGACGTGCAGTCTACCAATAACATTAGAGCTACAGCAGTAGGAACGCCCACAAGCGTCTTCACAGCACGGAGTCTAGCGACATACAGCGAAAAAGTCGCTGGCAGTGTGAACGGGGCTTGATGGAGGATCACGTCGGGGCAAGATGTGCTGTATTTCATTTGAATGAAATTTAAAATTATGAGATCGCATGCCTCATTAAAAGCCTGGGAATTCTTTTACATTTATTTAAATAAACAAATGAGGAATAATATTTTAATATAATTATAAATATTATTTTAGAAGAAAATTGCTTTATTGCCTATAATGTATTTATTTATTTTAATTATTTATTTATTTTTACCAATAAAGCAGCTTTGCTCCAAAGAAATATTTGAAAAACTAAATCAATATTTTTTCTTTTTGCATTGTGATATAATTCTCATCACAGTTAATCAGAACAATTCTCATTATGATAACAGGGTAGTGATAACTCTCTTAAGTGATGCTGACTGTGCTGAAACGTCTGTGATTGTCATCAGGTAGCATCTGCAGGGAAGTGCTGCCGCTGATCTCCTGTCCCACGCTGATCGTCCACGGAGCCAAAGACCCCATGGTGCCTTCATTTCACCCAGAATACCTGCAGCAGAACATCAGGGCTCACAGCTCCTGTCATTACAGAGGAAGCTCTTCAGTCTGTTTTATCGGACGCTTTGTGTTCGTCAGGCTGCATGTGATGCCGGAGGGGAAGCACAACCTGCATCTGCGATATTCCACTGAGTTTAACACGCTGCTGCAGGAGTTTCTGACTGAATGATCAGCACCTTCTGCGGTAAACAAGGACATTACTGTGTTTGCTTCAGTCAGAGAAATCCACTGTCTGTTGTTATAAATTGATTGTGGCCATTTTATCACCTGTGTGTTTTCATTTTTAATGCATGTTCTGTGGTGAAGATATTCGTGGATGTATACATGTTCCTGAATGTTTTGATGATCATCATTTTCAACAAATCTGTGCTGGAGCGACATTTTTTGGTTTGAAAAAGTACTATAGTTTTAATACAGCAACACTAACTGTATTAATGATTGTATTTTTGAACAGAAGTGTTACAGATTCATACTAAATAAACATTTATTTTAGTATACATTATTATATTTATTATAATAATGTAGTAATATAATAATAATATTAACTGTATTATATATATTTTTTTTTAAATTTTTTTTTTTTTTATATA